GGGGGGGGGGGCCTTCTGGGCAATGTGAATATTCAGATAATGCTTAGCAATGCTAAGTTAGTTGAGGGACTAATTGCATGTTACCATGCAAGGATCTCTTAACTTTACCTCTTCATATAGCTACATCTGCACCACCAACGGGCCACGCAAAGTTATGTAAATCAAACGCACCCTCCCAGCATTCATAATATAGTGCTTTAGCTTCGGTAAAACACCAGTTCCTGTTATAGGAACTGAATTATGTGATGAGGGCCCAGTATGGTCTGCACCCGGCCCTGGGCCTCTGTGGTTCCGCCATTATTGTATGAACCTAGGATGATGTTGTGCCCTTTGTGACTTGTCGGTATTTGGTATTAAGGAAACTCCAGGAACAGTTTGGAATACAAAGTAGAGCTCCACAATTACATAAAACAAACAAAAAAAATACACAAACTACAACACAGGGTCAATAAACCACATAGGTCAAGTGCATCATATGGCTGTTATCAGTGGACACACTCATAACACCCAGGAAATAGGAAAACATTTTTGCGCCTTTTGAATCTAGTGCATATTAAGAGGCATCCTCGAGGAGATGCAGTCCACAGCTCCGGAGTTTAATGTGCAAACAACTGATCTGATTCTTTATAAGGAAAAATTCTGCCATGTTTAAAACTAAGACAGATGTTTGTACAGTTTGTAAAATACAGTCTCAAGTCCTTGTAACCACTTTGCCGCAGTCCAGATAAATCTATTGTGCTTTGTCTTTGCTTATGAAGCTTTGCAGAGTATGATAATTAAATACAGATGTTAAATTCCACTAGCGTCTCTAATTAGATTTAAAATATTAAAACTAGCTTTGAGAGTTGTATTTAAAATCATCCTGTTTCATTTGTCTGAAACAGGGTCTTACATAGCTCGTACTTATCTGAAATATGATTCAATTGTCTTCATTTACAGAGTAGGGAAATAGCTGTGGGCCAACACAGTGTCATTAGTAGTGGATGAGAGCTAAGCTACTTGAAAGTCTAAGGCAAAGTGAAAACATGCAGTAAATTTATGTTTCTGTGTAAAATAAAGTACTGAAAACCTACAGTACCTTTGCCCCGGTTATAAATTTTGGAATGTCTCCGGTCCCTCCATGCAAGATGGTTTTCTTGATGCCCTCTGAGCCCAGCAGCAGCGTATCCTGCATATCTGACATATTTTTGGTTATTGGTAATGATCACTTAACAGTATATTTCCATGCATAGAGATACAGTATATCTTATGAGTAGTTCTGTGTTTATGATGCACTGGGTATGTGGACACCTTGGAGGTGTTCTTTCTGGTGGATTAGGTTAGGTAAGGATAATGAGATTAGAAACTTCTCCTCTCCTTCTGTTTTATCTCCTCTCTGTATTAATCAGTCATAATCAGCTCTTTTTCTCAAAGCTCAGAATCATCCAGAAAGAAAAAGAATCAGAGAGAAAATGAAAGTGGAACAAAATTTTGGATGGCTATGGCCACAGCAGTGACTACCTAATATGAGGAGAGGGTGCATACACTAATCAGCCATAACATTATGACCACTGACAGGTGACATTAATAACATTGACTATCTGTAACAGTGGCACCTGTCAGTGTGTGGGCTGAATTAGGCAGCAAGTGAAATTCAGTCCTTGAAGTTGGAAGCAGGAAAAACGTGCCAGTGTAAGGATCTGAGTGATTTTGACAAGGGCCAAACTGTGATGGCTGATGACTGGGTCAGATCATCTCCCACACTGCAGGTCTTGGTGGGTGTTCTTGGTCCGCAGTGGTTAGTACCTACCTACAGTGTCTAAGGAAGGACAAATGAACTGGTGACAGGGTCATGGACGCCCAGGGCTCACTGATGATGAGGTTGATCTACTGTAGATTAAACTTTTAAATGTCATTCATCTTTTTCAAAAGATTCCATTTTGTTTGAATCTTTGTTAAAATGGTTGAAAATGAGAAACACTGTACACTGGTCTCTATGAAGAGAAACATTCAGCAGCTTTAGTGGTGATATCACACCTACAGTAGAGTGGGGAGGCTGTTGAATTACTCTAAACAATTCTCTCTAACTCGTCCTCACCACCACAGTTTTCACTCCTTTTACACTGAATGGTCGACACATTTGTGCCCCTTCTGACAGTAGAACTATGGAAGCAAACAGATTCACAGAGGATGCACAGTGAGCTGCAGAGTGACACGGTGTTAGGCAGGTGGTCATAATGTTATGGCTGATCTCTGTGTGTGTGTGCGTGTGTGTGTGCGTGTGTGTGTATAAATATGTATGTGTCTGTTTGTGCATGTGTGAGACAGAAAGAAAGGGAACAAAAATAGTTCTGAGAAAGACATGGTTTCCATTCCAGAGGAAATTTCTTGGATTTATGTGGATGTGGTAATATGAACAATGGCAAGAACACTGAGAAATGCTGGAGCAGATAATTACTGAATGGACTCTCTGACCTTGTGTGTTAAACATCTGTCTTCCATCTGGGCAGTGTGTTTCTGTGTGTGTGTGTTGTGTGCGAGAGCTATCCAAGTCTCCTTTAGTGTTTGCTAACAAAGTCTGCAAGTAGTTTGAGGGAACACTTACTCTCAAACATTATCCAGTGTTAATACCTTATTTCATACTAATTGCACAAAACCCATAATTGCACAAATATATAAGCTTACAGTTTTGCGTTTCCTCTGTGGAACAAAATGGGGGAATATGTTTCTTCACATTCTCATCTTATCTTATATAAATAAGACCTCCATACCCTTAGAAAGAGCTGCAACATACTGTACTATCAAGTTGGCCTTTTTTCCACTGATGTGACAAACAGAATTGGGCAACAGTTTGGTATGTATGACTGGGCAGCTCTCCAAGGCAAAAGCAGTGATCAGAGTCCACTCCCTCCAGTGGAAAAGACTGGTAGTGCAGCAGGAGCTGGTCCTCTTCTTGATCATAGGGAGCTTGGTTTGCAGGTGTAGCTAACGAGGACCTGTAAAAGCCAAAATATGTGATACAGGGCTACATAAATACATTTTATTTGTCTGGATTTGACAGCTCTTCCTAATGTATATCTTTAACATTGACAGATAAAAGTTGTGATCCTCAGAGATGGTGGATGTTTTTATTAATATTAATGGAATTACATTTAAATATTTAAAAAAAACAAAAAAAACAAAACAAAACAAAACAGGGAAATAACTTTATATCAGATAAATTGTTTCTCCTCTCTTTGGATTTTCCTCCTCCATCCTCTTCTGTGGTATTGGAAACTGTGAAAATGCAACATGGACATATGGGGGTTTTTTTGGGGGGGGGAGAGCTCATGTTGCTATAGCTACAGCTTTTTACATCACCATCATCATAATATCTCTGATTTTAAAAGAAAAAGACAAATAATGTGACATTAATATTAATTGTTGGACCCCTGTTGTTCATTATAAATGTGAAAGAAATTTTTTTAAGAGGCTCATAGTGAAGATGGTGATTCAAAGCTGCATCTGCATCCCTGACTCTGGCCATTTGTTCCTATGAATGATGGGAGGGGGAGCAACAATCCATCCAACCTGTTGGAGAGGTAACACTATGACAATGGTGTGTGTGCTGTAATTCAGACTTTGTGTCACAGTGATGCATCTTGCTTGCGTCACACCGCCTACACCTTTCTCTTCAGCTTCACATGTACGTGTCTAGGTGCGTCTGTGAGTGTGTATACGTGTATATCTGAATTTGATGTGTGTACATTATAGTGTGGGAAATCAAATGTGCTTGTTTGCTGAACCTTTTTTTTAACAGGATCAGTTACAAGCAGTCCTGCAGGAGGTACAACCTGCTCTCCATCCTGCTGGAAACCCACTGCTGATGCATTAGTTCCACTTTAAGCAAGTCATAGTCTATTTCTGGAAAGTACAGTCATGGATTTTCTGGGGGAGGACTCATTCTTCATGTAAAAGCCCTTCATTCATATACCTGATACAGTGGGGGAAGGTGCCCTCTGTGACGCAGAACATGTACGCACATTGCATAATGGTTATGAATGTGTAAACCTTGTGAGCGTTTCCTGTGGGAAGGAGGCAGAGGGAGAGGAGGTGAGAGAGAGAAAGAGAGAACCCTTCTTTCCTTCAGACTGACATGTAGAGCTGACTTAGCAGATGCAAAAAAGAAGAGGACTGGTAGGGACACTGTGGGAGGCACCTTGCAAGGTTGGGAGACATCCCACATCACATACATTTATTTTGTAGATGTAGTCACCTCTTAATTTGCAAAGTGTTAAAAACATTATGAATTGTTACAGTATACTGAACAATATGTAAAATAGTTAATATTAGCTCCAACGTCATATGCTACACATTAAAATGCTGCTTAATGTAGCATCAATAATAAAAAAGCCATGCCTTGTGTTTCCTAATGAGAACTTTTAAGTAGATTAAGATCATTCTTTATACATGTTACTATATATGTCACTCATCACTATATATGTTAACGCATCTTGAATATGTTAACGTGCACAGTCACCAAGCCCGATTGCATGCCTAACGCATCTTGAATATGTTAACGTGCATAGTCACTGAGCCCGATTGCATGCTATATGATGTCATCTTTATCATATGTCCTCCACCCCAACCAAACAAAGAAAAACTATGTGAGCAACCAGTGAGGGTACCATTTTTGTGGTGACGTTGTAAATGACTCCTCATGGTGCTGGCAGAAACTCAGTATTGTTCTCCAGTGGAATATGAGAACACAACATTTCGCTTAGTTTTTTTTTCTCTGAATCTGCCGACCTATCTCCCACATTCCACAGAATCTGTGTGTGTAGCACACGGACAAAAACAGTGTCATAAATGTTAGTTCTGCTTTTCTATGACATAAATAATGTCCTATAAAACGGGTCTTTTTTCATTATTCAACAATGTGGACTTTTTGACTAATTCATTATTCATGCACATCCCTAATTTGAATACTTTGTCCACCTCTGGCACACACATGTATAGATCAAGGCTAAAGTGCTATGTGACAAATATCAGCTTTGTGTTTGTGAATGTGTGTTTTTGTTTCTTAGGGTGAGGAGCAGTGAGAGGGTGGAGGGTTACAAGGTGAATCACAGCCTTTCTGACTGCTCACACAAACTCTTAGATACACAACCGGTATGGAGATTCTCTCTGTCGTGCACAGCCACATTCTGGTTAAAAGACAAATTCAAACATATGTTGCACGCTCTCAGCCCCACCCTGCTCATGCACACACTTCAGGAACACACCCAGAACGATTGCTCTCTGAGAAGCACAGGCATGTGCACACTGTACTGCCCAGAGGTTGTACACTCAGATAGCAGAATTCCTAACATCCTCAGTGAAGGCACTTTACCAGAGGTTTAATCTGTTCTGAGTTTTAAAGAGCTTCTAGACTACAGATGCTTGCCAACACTGCCTGCATTATTGATGACATGTATCACTTGAAAAATCTTTTATACTTCCTTTATTAAAGAGCCAATGGCATGCTTTTCTGTATTTTCTGACTTATCACCAGTGTCACAACAATAAATTATCATCTTAAATGTGAACTAAAGCTCAAAAAATTAAGTGTGACTGTGTTGTTGTACCTCTGTGCAGAAGCAGCTCTGTTTATACAAGTCTCGTGAACTTGCTGGCAAGACTTGTTTTTCTCCAACTATGTAAAGTCTTATGCAATAATTCATGAATTTTCTTGCATAGCCATAATCTCCTGGCTGTGCGTGTTCATGTGAGCTTGCCAGACTTCCACTTGCGCCATATTAAGAGCGGGATTTTTTTTTTTTTACTGCATGTGGTTTTGTGGATATATTTTACCTCCTACTGCACTGTGACCAGAGGATGTGGAGAAAAATAAAGGGTCTGAGGTTACTGCATGTCCAGGAATGTTTCTGTACTCACTGTTTTAACTGACAGGGTCTAATGTGGCATAAATAGAGTGGCTGGAAACCTACAAGCAGCTGGCCAGTGAAGCATCCCGGGCAGTGAATGATCAGCTCATCAAGGTGGCTTTCTTCCTCCTAGACGCGCAAATAGCTGCATGTTTATGTCAGCATCATTAGCAAACTAACATTAGCTTTCCAAATTTGTACCTTTGTGCTGAATTATTCTGGATGTAATTTAGAGTCATTCCACCTTACTGCAATATTAACATTTTGTTGTCCAATTAGCAAAAACCAG